GAGAAAACGCAAAAGACCTCACCAAAAAACTAATTCAGTAAAGGTAAACGAATTCAGTAAAGTCACAGGATACAAATTCAACATACAGAAATCATTTCTACATACCAATAATGGAGCAGCAGAAAAAAAAAATAAGGAATCAATCTCACTGTACAAAAAAACAATAAGATACCTAGCAATAAACCCAAGCAAAGAGGTGAAAGACCTGTACTCTGAAAACTACAAAATACTGATGAAAAAATTGAAGATGACACAAAGAAATGGAAAGACATTTCATGCCCATGGATTGAAAGAACAAATATTGTTAAAATGTCTATACTACCCCAGGCAATCTACACATTTAATGCAATCCCTATCAAAATACAAACAGCATTTTTCACACAACTAGAACAAAGAATATTAAAATTTGTGTGGAACCACAAAAGATCCCAATAGCCAAAGCAGTCTTGAAAAAGTAAAGAAAAGCTGGAGCCATCACAATTCAGGACTTCAAGTTATATTGCAAAGCTGTAGTAATTAAAATAGTATGGTACTGGCACAAAAATAGACAAATAGATCAAGAGAACAGAATAGAAAACCCAGAAATGAATCCACAATTATATGGTCAATTAATCTTTGACAAAGCAAGAAAGAATATTTAATGGGAAAAAGACTGTCTTCAACAAATGGTGTTGGGAAAACTGGACAGCAACTTATAAAAGAATAAAATTGGACCACTTTCTTACACCATACATGAAAATAAATTCAAAAATGGATTAAAGGCCTAAATATGAAGGCTGAAACCATCAAAATCCTAGAAGAGAACACAGGCAGTAACTTCTTTGACATTGGCCATAGCAGCTTCTTTCTAGGTATATCTCCTGAGGTAAGGGAAATAAAAGCAAAAATAAACTAGTGAGACTACATCAAAATAAAAACCTTCTTCACAACGAAGAAAACCATCAACAAAACTAAAAGCCAACCTACAGAATGAGAGAAGGTATTTGGAAATGACATACCAATAAAGACTTAGTACCCAAAATATATAAAGTAATTATACAACTCAACACCCCAAAAAACAAATAAACCAATTAAAGAATGGGCAAAAGACATGAATAGACATTTTTCCAAAGAAGACATACAGATGTCCAACAGACACATGAAAAAATGCTCAACATCACTTATTATCAGGCAAGTGCGAATCAAAACTACAGTGAGGTATCACTTCACACCTGTCAGAATGGCTGAAATCAACAACACAAGAAACAATAGGTTTTGGTGAGGTTGTGGAGAAAAGGGAACCCTCTTACACTGTTGGTGGGAATGCAAACAGGTGCAGCCACTCTGGAAAATAGTATGGAGATTCCTCAAAATTTTAAAAAACTACCCTACAATCCAGCAATTGCACTACTAGGTATTTACCCAAAGAATACAAAAATACTTCAAAATAATTCAAAGGGATACATACACCCCAATGTTTATAGCAGCATTGTCTACAATAGTCAAATTATGGAAACAGCCCAAGTTTCCATTGACTGATGAATGGATAAATAATAATGGATAAATATACAATGGAATATTACTGAGCCATAAAACAGTAATGAAATCTTGCCATTTGCAACGACCTGGATGAAGCTAGAGAGTATAATGATGACCAAAATTAAGTTAGTCAGAGAAAGACAAATACCATATGATTTCACTCATCTGTGGAATTTAAGAAACAAAACAATCAAAGGTAAAAAAAAAAGGGGGGGGGGGGCAAACCAAGAAACAAACTCCTAACTTTAGAGAACAAACTGATGGTTACTAAAGGGGAGGTGGTTGGGGGGATGGGTTAAATAGGCGATGGGGATCAAGGAGTGCACTTGTCCTGATGAGCACCGGGTGATGTATGGAAGTGTTGAATCACTATATTGTACACCTGAAACTAATATAATACTGTACATTAACTGGAATCAAAATTAAAACTTAAAAAAAGTAAAATGAAAGATTGAAAGTATGTGTATTGGCATGTATGTGTATGTATGTCTTCAGATATCATACACACACACGTAGATCATTATTTGTTGAGCACTTTCCATGATGCATGAGTCCAGGCAGGGGAATAACAGCAGCTTGACTGTGATGAATAAGAAAAGTGTGTAGTAGGTAATGCCTGGTTTCCTGGGACTCAGAGTTTTTGAAGGAAGAGGACACCAATTCCCAAGCCAGCTGATGGAGTCTGATGAGGTATACAGGTGCAGCCCACTGGAGGGTTCATCTAAGTAGGGAATAAAGGTCAGGGCCCTGAGAAGAAATGCCCAGCATGTTCCCACGCCTCCCTGGATTTGGAAAGTATTATTCCTTGTTTAAAACCGAGCTCATGGGGCGCCTGGGTGGCTCAGCTGGTTGAGTGTCTGCCTTCAGCTCGGGTCATGATCCGGGGTCCTGAGATCGAGCCCTGCATTGGGCTCCCTGCTTAGCAGGGATTCTCTTTCTCCCTCTCCCCCTGCCGCTCCTCCTCCCATCACTCGTTCTCTCTCTCTCTCTCAAATAAATAAATAAAATATTTTAAATAAATAAATAAATAAATAACATAAAACCAAGCTCATGTCACCTCTAAGCCTTTCCTAGATATAGGAAAACTTGGATTCAAATACAATAACGCAGATAATTTTAAAAACAATCTTTAACTCTAGAAATATAAAGAAGTTGTATAACGAAAGGTAATCATAGAGCATCACTTGGTTCAGTTGTGTACAATATTCACATAGTCACAGTAAGGAAAACACAGAATATGAATTTTGAGGAAAAAGATAAAAGAACGAATGGGAGACAATTATCTAGGGAGGCTGAAGCAGAGAAAGGAGGGTAAGTGAACTACAAGTCTTATCTACCATTAGGAAGACAGTAGATGATGTATAAAATTGATAAATCAAAAGGTATTCTTTAAAAATACAGAGAGAAGAAAAGTTAAGAGTTGACAGTATGATTAGAGGAGTGGAGAAGTGACAAGAACTATATTTTGTATAAAATTTGGCATGTTTGGGCCTATATTTGCATATAATATCATGGCATTTTGAAAATTGTTTTAAAGAAGCCTTTCTTGAACTTCCCCATCCTCCCATGTTGAGCCCCGTCTGCACTAACAGTATAAAACAGACACTACATGTTTGCCTCCAGCCTCCCTTCTCAGACTGGAAGAACTCTCTTATTCCTTGCTGTAATGTCAGAGTCATGCCCAGCGTTTAACACCTGAGAGAAGTGCTTAGCACCTATGGGGAAGAATGGATGAATACAGTTAACTTTTGGGACAAACCAGCTGAATAATTGCACATGAGACATAGTCAAGTCTTTTAGGAATAGGAACCACAGAACGATAGTGATGATATCATTTCTCCACTCCTCTAATCATACTGTCAACTCTTTAACTTTTCTTCTCTCTGTATTTTTAAAGAATACCTTTTGATTTGTCAATTTTAGATAGTGATGCTAATATAATATTAATAATTATTATTGGATTGCTAGAAACCCCAATACCTCCATCCCCTGTAACCTGGATTTTACCAAGCCCTGATGTTTCATTCACCCTAGGGCATGCCTCCTGGATTTGTCCCTTACATCCCACCTCCTATACTAGCCCTCTACCAGACCCTCCTCACTTCATGCTTAAATGACTGACTGACTGGTCTTTCTGTGCCTCAGTCTATCTCTACCTCATCCTTCCTCCCACCCCCAAATATTCCTGCATTATGGTTAGTTCAGACTTCCCAGCACTCTACTCTTGTCATATTCTCCTTCAAGAATCAAAGTGACACCTTACCCTCTGGAGTCCAAGGTTCTCCTCCTAATCATTCCATGCCTCCAGAACCTGGCCTTACTGGCCCATCCCACAATTACCTCTCATACCTCTCCAGAGCTCGCCACCCTGCAGGGCAAGCCAGTCTCATTATTGGATCACATTCAGTCCTCCTTCCCACCTTTTATTACACCGGACTTTTTTTCACCCCAAAGACCAGAGCATCCCCATGGCCCAAGAATATAATTTTCTGTTGAGATACCTACAAATAGTCTTCATGTATTTAATTAAGAACTTACTGCAATCTCTTACTTTTCTACAGTGGAAACCATCTCAGGTTTTCCTTCATAATAAAATCAACATTCCTAAATAGAATTTGCCTTTAAGAATAACATCCTTATTTCCTTTATCAATAAATACAACTTTCAATTTTGACAGATTAATAAAATGAACCTTATGTAAATTGTTCTTCTAATCAAATAATGCAAGAGCCTGATATTTTAAAAGAAGTACAGACAACCTTAAATACTACTTTTCTTTTAATTTTAAAAATTCTTTTCCCTGTTGTCCTGCAATCTTGAATGTGTCTTAATTTCTTACTAAATGATTATTTTCTCCATTTAGAGAATTCATTTGATGAAGTATTGAGGAGTCTAATTGTTTAATGGGCAGAAATTAGTCCCTGCAAGAGTACTTTAAAAACTGGCAAATTCTAGGCATAATTACAAATTCTTTGAAAGAATCTATTTCTGTACAATAGGTTAATTGGTTTTAAGTAGACAGCACTGGCCACAATTTAAACCCAGCTTCCAATTTCATCCATGTTTTTTTTTTTAACAAATATAAGTGGCTAATTATGATCAAATTAGTCCCCTTGAAGGAACAATTGGCTACTTATCCCTGATTTTCAAGATTTAAGTGGTCTAATGCACCTGCAATTAGCTTCCCACTAGCATACTGCCTACAGATCCAGAGTTATTCCCCAAAGTTGTCAGAATCTTGCCTCATGAGAACTCTACAGCCAGATGACCAATGTCTAGTTTAGATTATGATGACTTCTTTGGAAAAATCAAGGCAATTTTTAAGAAAACTGAAGCCAAAATAGAGATTTGCCTAAGGGAGGAGTTGGGGCTGGTTGATCCAGACAATTGCCTCAATTCTCTGGCCTACCCACATATAGATGATTTGTTCATCTCTGTGATTATAGAAGTACTTACTCTTCTTTTCTTTATTTTAGTGGTGCAATCTATGCATAGACTTGGTGGCATTTACGAGTGAAATATTCAAGGGAGCAGTTTTCCAGTCACTGGATGGAATTATTGTCTCAGCTAACTGTAAGCTGCGGAAGATCTTCACTTTAAAATGCAAGCCTCAAGACACTGCTGATAAAGATGGTATGTTCAAGTTGCTACTATCAAGATTTTTAAATTCTGCAATGTGCTTAAAATTAGACATACCTTTGGATAGCATGAGTACATGGTAATGGTTTTTCTAAATTTATCTTATTTTATTGTGGAAAAATACTTAACATGAGATCTATCCTCTTAACAAATTTTTAGGTGTAGTATATGTTTTTAGTGACTGTAGGTGCAGTGCTGTAAGCAGATCTCTAGAGCTTATTCATTTTGATCAAAACCCATTGATTAGTAACTCCCCATTTCCCCTTCTCCTCAACCACTGGCAGCCACCATTCCACTCTGATTCCTTGAATCTAACTATTTTAGATACCTTATGTAAGTAAAAGCATATAGTATTTGTCTCTCTATAGTTGGCTTATTTCACTTAGCATAAGTCCTTGTGGTTCATTCATGTTGCAGCATATGTCATTCTTTACTCTGAATCACATGTTTATTTTTACTGTAGCTGAATGTCAAAGATATCTTTTTTATTTTTGTGATTATTTTTCTTTTTTTTTATGATAGCACTTACCATGTGAATTAGTCAGGGTTTCTAGTTGCAAGCAATGGAATCCTCTCTGGGTAGTTGAAACAGAAAAAAGAATTTATATAAGGAAATTAGCCAGTTCATAGAATCTCAAGGATACCCAGAAAGTCAGGCTTAGAGGTTACAGGCAAGAACAAACACAACCCCCACCACAAGACTGCTCCAAGGAAGACCCCCGATAGCTACTGAAACTGGACAAAGACTCCCTAAGTCACAGCATAATGCTGGGCTCTAGGTTCCAGAATTTCTATTATTGCTGCCCCGGAAAACTAAATGTCTTCTTCCTCACCACCTTCACCAGAAGTAGACTTTTCATGTTTCTCTCTACTGAACAAAGGCAGACATGGCTGTGTCTGATTTGTAGAGCCTAGATCACATGCTGCAAGGGTGGCTAGCAAAGTGAATATCTGATTCCTGACGAAGGAGATGGGACTCATTGTGTAGCAATGTCACCAAATTAACAGCGGTGTTCAAGAGATGTCAACATTCATAGTGCCTGGGTGGCTCAGTGGGTTGAGCATCTGCCTTTGGCTCAGGTTGTGATCCTGGGGTCCTGGGATCGAGCCCCGAGTTGGGCTCCCTGCTCAGCGGGGAGCCTGCTTCTCCCTCTCTCTCTGCCCCTTCCTCCGCACTCTCTCTCTCTCTCTCTCTGTCTCATGAATAAATAAAATCTTTAAAAAAAAAAGATGTCAACATTTAAAAGGCTCTGCCATTGTCCAGTATATACTATCTCATTACTCTGTGTACGTTTCATGAGGTCATTTGAGAGAAATTACATTTATATATTAATTTTCTAATGATCATGTTAAAATAGAAAAATTAGTTATTCCTAGAAAGATAGGAAATATACACATTATTCATTATATGATTAATAAATACACTCTGCAGATAACTGAACCATCTAGAATTTGTAAGATGGCACAAATTCTCCTGCTAAGATAGTCTTAAACAACTGAAAGTATTGAGAGAATACTGATGCTTCCTTTTGATTTTTGTCTGGGATTATTTTTAACAAAATCAATTTTTCTAGAAGCCCAGGAAACAGAGCAACACGTAAGATGGCAAAGGTGATTTCTTAGAAGTTTGTATAAAGTAAACTTCAGACTTATGCTCTGTCTGGATGAGTGTCTGAGAAATCCTTGTGTGGTTCACTCTTTGGAATAGGACACTGTGCCTATAAATTTCATTTGATAATAAAACACAGCAGTGCATTAACAGCTCCCCAGAGAGATCACAAGCCAGGAAGTGCAGCCACTCATCTTATGTACCATTTAAAGGCTATACAAGAAAGTGAAAGCCTTCATTTAAAAAAAAATATCACCCAGCTAATAAGAAACCTCAAAATTTATAGAAGTATATGTGCATTCTGTATCAGATCATAGGGGGTGAATCATAACCTGATTAGTATTTTTAAATAAATGTAAGGAAAAAAGTGTATCAAAATATGGCATATTAAATGCAAGTTTTTATCTCTGATCCTTCCTCAAGCCCCACTAAAATTACAGGAATAAAAATGGTAATAAACCCACCAGGATGAAGAGGATGGGAGAGTAGAAAACAATAGGCAAAGTGTGTTCATAAATTTTGTAAGATTGAGGAGTGACAACTAACTTAGAAGACCAGAGAAAGCTGAAACTATTGGGTTTACAGAGAGGTTTGCCAATGAGATTCATAACATAGAACCTCAGAGGGACTCAAGAATTGGCAGCTCTAGGTACTGTCAAAGGCAGGAGAAGAGGTGTGGCTAAAAACAAGGAGATTAGTTAAAATTCTATACGGGTTGCTATAGGATCCCAGATCCCCCTTCCAACTACAAATAAGCAGACAACAGGATATTTATTCTCCGGAGGAACTGAACCAGAGAACTTCTCAGCTCAGATACATTGGGTACATGGTAGATAGACACCAAAACTAACAGCAAGAAAGAAATAGATAAAGTAAGGAATACATATATGTTTTTCTCAGTTAAGAAAATATACTGCATCTATAAAATAGGAATAATTTGTTCTTGGCTGTATTTCAATAAGCATTTTGTTAAAGTTTATTACATTATAAGTTTTTTATGTAATTCAGAAACATTTACAAATCATAGGTGTACAGCTTTAGGAATTAACACAAAATGAAAACATTTCTGTAACCACCACCCAGATCAAGAAATAGAACATTACAAATATCTCAAAAACCCTACTTAAATCTCCTCCCAATTATGACCCTCTCTCTTCTTATAGAGGTAACTCTCTCCTGACTTCTAACACTACAAATTAATTTTACCTATTTTTGACGTTTATTTAAATAAAATCATATGGTACATATTCTTTCATATATACATTCTTTAACAAAACACTGTGAGATTTGTCTATATTGTTTATTTAATTACTGTACAGTATGCCATGTGTGAATGCCCCACAGTTTGTCTATTTTAGGCAATTTTGAATATTACTGCTGGAATCATTCTACATTTCTCTTGGAGCATCTAGGTAGGCTTTCTTTGGATATTTATCAAGGAGCTGAATGAACACATTTTCAGCATTCTTAATTTCAGTTATTATATTTTTGATTCTAGAATTTCTGTTAGATTCTTTTTTATAGTTTCCATTCCTCAGCTGAAATTCTCTATCTCGTTATCTAATTTCTCAAATATATTAATCAAAGTTATTTTAAAAGCCTTGGCTCACAATTCCAATATCTGTCTCTCCTGTGGCTCTGTTTTTATTGTCTGTTTTTCTCTTGTCCTTGTATCCTGACCTGTCTAATAAGTTTTGAGTGAATAAGTTTCATATCACTGGACATTTCAACTCAGAAACTATACAGCTATTTTGAGACTCTGTATTGTATTGTCTTTCCCCAGAGACTTAGAATCAAAAGAAAAAAAAAATGTTTAAAAGAAACCCAAAAGACTGAAAATAGGATCAAAATGTTAAGAATATTAGAAGTTAGTTCAAGAGGACCACCAGCAGAGTAATAGGATTCTAAGATGAGAGGCTAGAGAAAGCAGGAAGGATGATATATAGGAAGATTTCCCAAGGGGCGCCTGGGTGGCTCATTCGTTAAGCATCTGCCTTCGGCTCAGGTCATGATCCCAGGGTCCTGTGATCGAGCACCACATTGGGCTCCCTGCTCAGCAAGAGGCCTGCTTCTCCCTCTCTCACTCCCCTTGCTTGTGTTCCTTCTCTTGCTGTGTCTCGCTCTGTCAAATAAATAAATAAAATCTTTAAAAAAAAAGGAATATTTCCCAAAATTAAAGGCCAGGTATTTTCACATTGATGTAGCTCATCAAAAACAGAAAATGAAAAAGAAAACGAAAAGAAAAAAAGAACCACCGTTGTATAATTTAAGAATAGAAGGGAGAAAGAGAAAAGATTACTTAAGCTTCCAGAATTTTTTTAAAATTCAAGTTGCATACAAAGGAGAAGGAATGAAAATAATGATGTCTGACTTCACACAACAACATTAGATCGTAGAAGACCTTAAAACTATGACTTCAAAAGTCTAAGGAAAAATGATTTTCAACTTAGAATTCTATACCCATCCAGTCAATTATTTTTGTCTTCCAAATATTTATTTAAATTTTAGTTAGTTAACATATAGTATAATATTGGTCTCATGAGTAGAATTTAGTGACTCACCCCTTACGTATAACACCCAGTGCTCATCATACAAGTGCATTCCTTAATACCCAATACCCATTTAACCCATCCCCCACCCACCTCTTTCCATCAACCCTCAGTTTGTTCTCTATCGTTAGGAGTCTCTTATGGTTTGCCTCCCCCTCTCTCCTCTTTCTTTTCTCTTTCCACATGTTCATCTGTTTTGTTTCCTAAGTTCCACAAATGAGTGAAATCATATGGTATTTGTCTTTCTCTGACTTATTTCACTTAGCATGATACACTCTAGCTTCATCCACATCACTGCAGATGGCAAAATTTCATTCTTTTTTATGGCTCTTGATGACTACAGTAATATAGTCATAGTTTGGTTATTGTTAATAATGTTGTTTTAAACATTGGGGTGAATGCACCCCTTCAAATCTGTATTTTTGTGTCCTTTGGGTAAATACCTAGTAGTGCAATTCCTGAATTGTAGGGTAGTTCTATTTTTAACCTTTTGAGGAACCTCCGGGCTGTTTTCCAGAGCGGCTGCACCTGTTTGCATTCCCACTAACAGTGTAAGAGGGTTCCCCTTTCTCCACATCCTCACCAACATCTGTTGTTTCCTGTGTTGTTAATTTTATCCATTCTGACAGGTGTGAGGTGGTATCTCATCATGGTTTCGATTTGTATTTCCCTGATAGTGATGTTAAGCATTGTTTCATGTTTCCGTTAGCCATCTGGATGTCTTCTTTGGAAACATGTTTATTCATGTCTTCTGCCCTTTCTTAATGGGATTATTTGGTTTTGGGGTGTTGAGTTTGATAAGTTCTTTACAGACTTTGGATACTAACGCTTTATCA